CTTAGCGACAAGAGAGCGAGACATAGAGACGAGAGACGAGGGTCGAGGGAGAGACGAGGGAGACAAGCGAGCATTATACGAATAGCACGGAGGAGGGAAGAGCATCGGTCGTTGTTTTCTAAGGTACGTAAGCGCGCCACGAGAGCAACCGGAAGTATCCTGAACAATATACGCGAGCGCATGTATCCCAGCGTTGGATTTTAGCTCGCTACAGTAACATTATGTCGGATGTTAAACGCTCGCGATATATCTGGATGCTGCATCATCGCGAAGGTGTGGCTCTTTACAAGCTCGTAACGATTAAAATCACGAGACGAATGTATCGTAGCATTAATTGCAACCGGACAATTTCCTCGAAGATATTAAGTATATTTACATGTGTATTTAACAGTTCCCGTAAAAACAGGAATGTTACTCTTTCACCAAATGCGGATAGCGCATTTCTTTTTTTTACAATTTGTTGCCGACCATCACAGATATTCGACATGTGCAAAATAACGATGAAAATAACGGCTATATTCGTTACCATTATCGATAGGTTACATTTGATATCGTTACGCAAAACCTGCAATCGTGTTACTGTCATCGTTACTAACGAAAAAAATAACATCGTCGCCAAGACGTTACAGAAAAACAATGACCTTTAACGAACTTTCTAATTCCACTAATAAATGACACGTTCCAATCGCAGCGATACCCGAGGTCGTGCAATATTTTCAATGCAAAGATAATTATAATCGTAGAGCAGTTTCGACAGAAGCGGAATGACATTTTCGATGAACTATCAATATCGACACTTTGCGCAGCGTCGATGTAAATATAAGCTTAACCTTTCCACGAATTGATACTGTAATTGTAAATAAAAAAAAAAAAAAGAAGAAACCGTCGCTTTTTCTGTGCAAATTTTGCGTTACTATTTTTTTTCTTGCTACACATATATTTCACAACGACCCATAAATGGAAAAGGATTTGTAGGAATTTTTTTTTTCCAGGCGAAGCGTTTGAAACGCGAAACGTTTGCTCCGATTGCAGCCGGGGAAAAACGCGAGATGAAAAGGCTATAGATTATTACATTTGTCCCGTGCGGTATTGGGAAATTACAGGTTGCAACGAGCCGAGCGATGTTTGAGCACACCTCTTTTCCTGCAAGGGGATGGGGCGTTTTCCTCGCGGAATTCACTTATGCGCACGTAAGGGACGCGCCGAAATAAATAAATTGATTTCTTCCACAATCGCGCCCAAATTCTGCCAACCTACATTCGAATTGCGACACGATTACTATGTATTATTCGCATTTCTGACGTAGCACTGTGAATTTTAGAATATTACCTCTTATGAATATGAAGCAGACAAGTCGACTCGCGGTCGACTTTCGTGCGGGCTGCCGGTGAACTCGATGAAAGGGACAATATGATCGTGAGGTGAGGGTTCCACCGGGGAAAAATGGTCGCCAGGTTGACCTCACCGGCGCTCTCGCGGCTTTTCAAACGTTTTCACACTTTTCTCCCCGGAGGCCGAAGCCGCCGTCCCTTCTCCTTTCCGGCTGGACCGTCGCGACGGATCGCGCACACGGCGGTGACCATAACAAATGCGGCTAACTAAGCGCAAAAGTCTCGCGAAAGCTTATTACTCGATGTTTACAGCCCGGAGGAAACTTGGTCTCGCAGCGTGCGGTGCACCGCACTTTAGGAACTCTCGAGAGGAGTTCCGCCGTAACTGCGACCGCTGCGCGCGCGTCCGAGTCATTTCAAACGGAGACCCGTGACAACGGCGACCGATCCTTGTAATTAACATACTCTCCTCGGATTTCCTTTCCCCCACCCACCTGTAAACGCTTGTACGACGCGGGGAGGAAGAGGGGAGGGTGAGCACCGCCGACGGCGATGTCGTTCGTCGAGCGCGGGACGGGTAGTTTTCAAAAAGAGAAAACGACGGATGGAAATCACTTTCCGGGAAGTTTGCCGGGGAAGGAAACGCCGATCTTTCTAAACCATCCGCCATTCCGGCCGCCGTCGCTCTGGGGCATCCGTCGCCCGATCGAAGTTAATTGAGTCGTCCGTAATGAGGTTTCGGCCGCTTCTGTCGAGAAATTTTAATCGGCCGAGAGGGCGGCGAGCGAGGAGTGGCTGAGAGGGCGAAAGTCGCGCCAACAACGGACGCTTGGAATGTTTGCGAGGAGTTATTCAATTATTTTACGTCCCGCCGGTCCGAGGTGCTTCTCAATTTGCTTATCGCCGGGAAGGTAGGAGAGGGAAGTCCTCTCAACAGATCGAACTATATTGGACACTGCAACACTGACTGACGATCGAAACAACGCGAGACGCCGTAAATCCTTGTGAAAGAAAAGCGGATTGTTCGGTGTGACACCATAATGATTCGCGTCTGATTAGAGATGTCAATGGAGAAGCGTTATTAGATTTTATGTATCAAAATATCGCTGCCTTACTTGCATGGACACTGAGGAGCAAACGGGTTTCCACGGAGAGAGCTTCGAGAAAGTGATGAATAAGAAAGAACGGTCAAGAAATTAACCTCTATAACACTAAAATTATATTCTGAATTTAAACAGTCAATTTTAGTTAATTTGGTGCTGATGATCACAAATATAACAATTAAAGTCAAAACTTAACTCTTATTTTTCCGTTATATGGTAAACAACGATCAAAATAAATTTGATATTTATAGCTTTCATGTGATGTGGAGAAGAGGGAATATCTTTAAAATCATGTCTTTTAAAACTGATTTTTGACTTTAAGAGATGATGCGTATGGTAGTCCTGTAAAAATTTATACATGAGACATATGCTTCAGTTTCTTGTAGGAAAATAGATACTATTTTTATTCCTTCGCTGAAAAACATTTTTTTATTTCGACACCGTTAAAAAGCGCCCAATAATGTAACGTTAAAAGAAAGACTTTAATTTTACTGATTGTTTTTATGAGACACAAAGTAAGAAATTAATAGAAATTATGGCAAAAACATGTTCTGTCGTTTTACTTTCATATATTAGGGTGGATCAAATATAAACGAGCCTTTTACAACATACACTTTTAGTCGCGGCTGTTAAATAAAATGGCATCTGTATTATATGATTCAGGTAGCCAATCAAACTAGTATTTTTTAATAATGCTTCTTCAGTCCTTTACGTCCGCCATCATACTGAATCATCTAGTATTTTGCTACTTTTCGCTCGAATAAGGCAGCTGGTTCCGATGTCTATCAATTCTTGTTCGGCAAAATGCGATATCGATTGAATACGTAAGCTCGGCGATATTTTATGTGATTTGCCGACGCTCGGGAAGCAGGTTATATCAGTCGCGTCAGCGTTGCACGCGGGCTGATTCTTTGTTTCGCGGACGGTGGTCTAAATACAATCGAAAAACTGATTCTCATGAGACGGGAAACGAGCTAAAAACAGATCTCTCTCTAATTGACGCGTGCTCTCGTACAGTCAACATTGCATCGCACGGTGAAAATATCATCGGCTTCAAACATGGGAGGTGATCGTGGCGCGGAAACGCGCACAATGGCGAACAGCCTGCAACATTTTCAGACGTCACGGTTGTCATCGAACCGCCTTGCAAGCAATCTGGCATGGGAACAAGCATCGTACGCCGCAGGCTTTACACTATCCATGGGCTTTATATACACGCCAACAGAGATCGAAGCTACCGCTTTAATATTTGATTTCGCGTTCGCCTACGTTGAAGCTGTCGATTAATAATACATTAGTAATTACTCCGACATTATTCATATTTCTCGAGCGTATTACAATGTCACGATTGGTACCGCCGGTGATTTGCGTTACGTTATGCAGTCAGCCATTAGTACGTGTCAATATTTATTAAGCCGCTCAGGGAATTATAAACGTCCTACAGTAATGAGGGAGTGATAAGTTTCGTTCGCGGAAAAACATGAACAACGACAGAAGGTGGCCCGTCTTCCGTGCGCTAATAAACGTATCGTAAATGAAATTAATCACATAATAACTAAGAAAATAATTTTCCCTTTTTTCTACCTTTCTCCCTCATCCTCTTCTCTTTCTTTCCCTCTTCGTCTACGCAAACATTTTTACAGTTTGCCAATTTGCACAACCCCTTTAACCTGCTAATTTTTACAATTTCTCTCACATGTAGTTTCTGTTTTCTCCGTTTAGGTGACTACTTCTCTAGGTTTTAATCTTGAAAATTTCTTTTTTGCTCACGTCACACCGTAAAGTCATGTTGACTCTATAGATTCTAATACGTATGGTCCTGATAATGCTAGTCGTGATCTAATAGTCTTCCTGTCATCTTCCCTGTTATTTTCAATATTTTCGACCAGTTTCTCTAGTCCTTATCTTTTCCTACAGCTTGGAAATATTCTGATGTCATGCCACTTCTTAAATTCAAATACATTCTGTCTACTGATGTGTTGCTTTTTCCAGCCTTTAAATTACCGAGTGTCCACGCGCACGCAGCGCTCTCTTTTTACTATTTCAAGGTGTCGGACTTCGACACTGAAATGCTCCTTCCAACACACTGTTATAAACCTCTAGGATTCACTACCAGTAGAAATCAGAAGCACTGAGTCTTTAAATATTTTTAGAAACAGATTCTTCTCTTGGCTGCGTACTCGATCGACTACAAATTGATGTCAGACCCAAATCGAGTGTAATCTATCATCCTATATGATATTCATCGATTTTCTCTTTTCTTTCCTTTTTTTATGTATATTATTACCTTCTCTGATCTATTATAATATTATAATATCTTTGCGTTAAGTCCTCTTAGAGGGCTCGCCTTAGAAATGCCAATAAACGCCTTATCTCTCTCTCTCTCTTTCTCTCTCTCTCTCTCCATCTCTCTCATTTTCTACTTGATAAGAAATAATGATTTTACATCAGAATAATCGAATCGAATTTGTCGAAACAATAAGTAATAATATCACAACTCGAATGAGAAAAAAATGCTTTCTGGCGTTTACCTTCCGCACACTTACGAATCGTTTTACCGTTTCAGACTTCGGTATAACGACAGGACGGCAGGAAGAGAAATATCCGTGTGCCTTTGTTTTCAACAGCAACGAGACCCGCAACGGTACGTTCGCGTCGCCGAACTACCCCGGGCTGTATCCTCGTAACACGGAGTGCCACTACTTCTTCAATGGTCAGCTTAACGAGCGGGTTCACCTTCATTTCCACTTCTTCGACGTCGAGGGAGTGTTACCGTAAGTTGAATAAACGAGCAAATCCTTATGTGCTGCCTTCGTAAGGTTTAACGCGATAGTCCGGCAGGGCCGAATTTAAATAACGACTTTGAAATTACAAAAAATTTCTGCGAGATTCGCGGAGGTGTTACCCGCACTATCCTCAAATATGACTGCAAACGGTTCGTGTGAAAAATATGATAATGAGAAATGAAACGGAAATTAATTAGCATGAACGTGACGTAATGCGATATTCATATAACGGGAGAAAGAGATTAAATAGAACAGCGATAACTGTACGAACAAAAATATCATGAATAATACTTAACGACGGACACGTCCGCATAGATTTTAAGTACCGTGAAATAAACTGAATTGGATCAATCGCGTAAACAGCTATTCCCGTTGAATCGGAAAGTCCACTCGTTGCTTTTGTATTTCCCGATGTCAGCATTGACCATACTAGAAACCTGTCCTCATCTGTTGTCGAAACTGAATAGATACGACAGTCAGGATTGCTTTCGAGCGAATTTGAAATCTTTCCGCGAAGGTGAATAGATTGCCCGGCTCAATTCTGGACTCTCGCGGGAGTTGGACGGCTCGTTATATCAAATTGCGTTCTCGGCTACTTATTGGAACACGAAGGAAGCCCCGATGAAGGTTTTGCGGCTGGTGTTCGAGAAACAGAGGCAATTACATGTCATCTGTACTATAGATTGTTATTAACGAGCGCCTATTGCCTATTACTCGATATAACGGGAAATACGACACGCTGCAGCTTTAGGAAAAACGTAACTAAGTCGCGTATGCTGGAAATAGACGCAGCGGAGAGAGAGAGAGAGAGAGAATCGGATACGCGTGCAAAATGAGGGGGAACATAGGGGGAGATAGTTGAAGAACGGCCGCGGGTGAGAGAGGAAACGGGCAGGGACAGTGTGTCGGGGTCATACGATAGCTGCTCCTAATTGGGTCGTATTAAATCGCAGGACCATCAATATTCCGGCGGCAACGTAACGCTACGTTCATTACCGGAAGCCGCTAATTAATCATGTTTCGCCAATTTCTGTCGAATTTTATAACAACGTGGCGCGCTCGTTTGTCGCACACGGTGCCGCAACGCGGCGCATCGCGACGAAGAAATGCAACGCGCGCGCAACAGGGAGAATCCCGCTGGTTCGTCCCGCGACGGTGTGCTCGCTTTTATAAATTAATAATTTGACATCGTCAGGGGCCGGCATCGTTGTACGCGTGCGGTCCGCGCGTGGCTATTTATCGTGGCCGCAGCCGGCCTTGGGAAGATTTTCCCTCGGCGCTACTTCGGAAAACGGTAATCGTAAATATCCTTGGCGCGCGCGCGACGGAATGAGAGTTCGATTGGACGAAGTACGCCCTCGGTGCTACTCGCAGATGCATTTCACTGCCGTCGACACGCCGCACGGAAAAAGATGCATACTCGGCCGTAAATCTGACCACCGGTAAACAGTTCTCGCGTAGGTAGACGTGCGCGCGCGCGCGAGAAAGCGCCGGAGAGATGATGATCTGTCACCTGAATTGCCACTTATGTCATTGAGCCAACTAGCGCGCGTGGCCTTGCGTCGCGCTCCATCCACGATATATATTTTCCTCTCCGGATAATAGCCCTCATCGCTCACGCATCAATATTTCTTTTCGAGAGGATACATTGTTTGTCTCCTCGGGTACGACGACGGGCGGCCGCGGCCGCGAAATAAATCTTATTTATCGCCTCTATTCATCTCACTGGGCAACAACACTTCGTTCTCTCGTTCTTAATTATGCTCGACGAAATGATAATAGGCTGTCGTTACGTTGCCCCGCATATATATTTTGTGGTTCCGGCTAGTTGGCGCTATTACATGACTGGCAATTTACTACGGGTCATTGCGCATTGCTCGTTCGGAATTTATGCGGAATAACAGAAATTTTGTAAAAATTAACAAGTTAAAAAAATTGTGAAAATTAACAAGCTGTAAAAATTTTTGCGCAGAATCATTTTGAGTGAATTTTAAATGTAAAAGTTTACAAATTGACTGTAAATACTTTTTTCTTAAAATTCTTTTAAGCGAGGGCAGAATATTTTTATTATAACGTTGCGAATGATAGGAAAACCGAGATTAGATTATTTATGGGATTATTTATTTATGGCGGAGAGAAAATTATGAATACAATTTATGACTGAAAGGTAGCCGAGAAAGACCATTAAGAAAAGTCATCGCGATTTTATCGATATTTCTCCAAGAAATAGATATTGCAGCTTTTTACTACTCCATTTTTCATCGAGGAATATATATATGTATCAATACACTATATATATCGTAAGGAGCTACTTTACGGAAGAATGTAGAATCGCGAGGAATAGCTTGTTGAATGCAGAATCGCCTGTTTAACTGCGCAATCTTTGTAAATTTAAATATATACAGAGCCAGTATAGTTTGCCGAAATTTTGATTTTATGCGAATATGTAAGAACCAAATCTCACTGACGCAAACTTCTCGAGAGATAATGGATGACGGAAACATTTAACTTTCTTAATGAAATGCACGACCAGCAAAGTTTTTTAAGCCGTCAAAGCTTGCAGGAAAAGTTAAGTGAGTCGTTTAACTACCCAAACTTTAACTAATCCCGAATCGATATATTTATTTTACTTGATGTATTTTGGTAAAGTCAGTTCCTATATTTTATTCCGATATTTTATTTAATCTGAAGGTGCAATTCGCGTAATATATTTGTTACCAGGAAAGATTGGAAAACAATTGGAAAGCTTTCTGTAATATACAATATAAATATACACGTTTTATCGGAAAATATCAGTTTTTATTATTATTCTTATAATTATAGGATTGGGAGCATAAAAATATGGAAAATAAATATGAAGCGCGCAAAATGTGTGTAAAACTGATAAAAATCGTATGTCCAATTAAAGTTCACGTATCCATATGCCCGCTTACAATAAAGTATTATTTATCTGATATAGGTATTGAGATTACAAAGCAAATACGTTTTCCTCTTTTTAATTGAGTATATAACTTTCCTTTACTTGCCCCATTATATATATCTTCATATTGCTAGGGTATATCTGAGCGCTTAATATTGTTGACGGCCATATTTAGAATCGACGAATTACACGCGTTTCTTGCGTAATTGTGCGGAGTATCATTTATAATATTACATGCTAATATCGAGTGTCTGCGATCGACTAATCAAACGAATCGTCAATGAAATAAAAGCACCGATGAAACAAAGGTTCAGTCGTTAACGAATGTGGAATTTTCTAGGTGTGAAGCTGTATCAGCCAGCGATTATGTTGAATTTTCCAACTACATGGCGAGAGACCGAAAGTACTCGAGGCATTGCGGTCAACTGAAAGAATTTGACGTTTACAGCGATAGAAAGTTCTTTCGCGTAACGTTCAAGAGTAACGATCGCCTCGACGCTACGGGCTTTAATGCCAGCTACGTGTTCTTGGACGAAGAAGAAAATTATACGATGAAGATACCTGTGAGCAGCGGATCGGCATGGCATGGTGAGGCTTTTCTCTTCTCATGAAATTAGTTAATTAATTATATCACGGTGTTGCTACCGTTACCTACAAGTAGCTTCTGGCCTTTTTTGAAATTAGTTGCAACGCTATTGTAAGTTACAGGACTGACAGGATAAAAACGGAAATGCGCTTTACGCGACTAGAAAATCCTATCCTGTAATGAAGTCTCTTACTATTTACCGTGCTAGATATGCCGGGCAAATGGATGAAATTTGCTGTTTATTATTTATTTTAATTTATTTAAATCCGTTCAAATGACGCATCTCTTGACCATCCGACGGTTACAGAAGATACGAAATATAAGCATTATCGTTGAAAAATGGCAATACGCGACACCAAATTCAATAAAATATTTTGATATACCGAATTGCATAAGCCGTATAGCTCGTATAGCCGAATTTTAAAAAGTTCACCTTCATGCGTTTCGCTCGCTTTCCGTTAAATCTGTAATACAATCATTTACAATGGATATTGAAAATGGAAAAATGTGAGCTGTGATATATAAAGTTACATAACTATAACAGGGTACATCGTGGTTTCTAGCGAACGAAATGTTCATTATATTCCATTGGTATTTGCGAAGAGTGAATTATATTTTTATCTACTTCTCTACTCATTCCTACGTGAATATTCGTTTTAATGATTGATATCATATAAATCTAGTGAATCCAGAAAAATATTATATATATATATATATATATATATATATATATATATATATATTAGGTATATGCAAACGTCTCCATTTTTAATTTATTTGTTTATTATATAATACTACAAATGACTACAAATCAATCTTCAAAATATTTTTCCTCATTTTCTACAACCTTCTGCCATCTTTTGGGTAACTAATATTTTTATAAATGAATAACTATAATAAATATACAATACATATAATATTAATAATTTATAACTGAAAATGTTGATATGCAAACGCGCGTAGGTCATCTTCACGCCGTTCAATCAATTACAATTGCCGTCAATATCTAATATCACTCGGTAAAAAGTTGGAACACTTACTCGTATTCACTCTGTATACATACAGGATATCCCAGATCAACGGAGACAAACTTCGTGAGGTCGTAGAACGGATTGAAGTGAACAAAAGAGATATATAAGATATATATATCGAATAAAGATGTCATATTTTTACGAAACATAGAAAAGCAAAAACAATACATCATTGAAAAAGAACAGACTATAACATACTATATATATGGCTTAAAAATACAATGTATCGAGTTTAACTGGATCCTGGAGTTAACATGATCTTTGAAGTGTAACAATTTCTAAAATTAATGTGGTCTCTGAAATTTAACTGAACAGAGTCTCGTTTCTTTTAACAGCTTCAACTTACACACTTCGTAGACAGGTATGGTCACGTTATGATTATTATGTCTCAGCTATTTAAACGTCTTCCTAACAATTTCCATGACAGTTATTTCTCTCCGCTCTTGAATTGCCTTCCCACGTGCGCGCGCACAGCCAAGAAAAAGAGAAAAAAAGGAGGAGATACACGAACGGACATTCTGGAAAATAATTGAGTCTTTTGAACATAAAGAAAAGCCCGACAGGAGGCGGGCAAAAACTCTGTAGAAAGATCTATTCTGAATTGCACGGAGATCCGTTCATTCGCATTCTCGTTCTTCCGCACCCAGGAAGGCGAAAAGTCACGCGCGCAGCAGCGTAAATGGATAGGAGCGGCCTGGAAAAGGTAGCAGGCAGAATGAATTAAGGCGGTGTACTTTAGCCCGTTCTGTCAAATCGAATTGCGCGGAGAGAAACCCGTTATTCACTCGTTCGCGCCGGCAAACGGGGTCGAATGCCTCGGATTCGTGAAACTTTTGTTACAACTTGGAGCATTGTTGCACGCCCAATGGCCGAGTAGCCGGTGCCGCTGCGCTTAATAGCTCGAAATACATCTTCGAGCGTTCGGTCGCTTTAAACGCCGTTTTAGAGTGGTAACAATTGTGGGGCGGGGAAAAAAGTGCGTGAACTCGACAAAATTGCGTGATTTAAATAATAATAATCGTTGCGCGAATTGCGCGGCTATATATACACTCGTTTGCAGAAGAACATTTCTCATTATCAGTCTTGAGTAATTAACTAGTTAATCGGCTGAAGGCCGTTAAGTTAAAAAATTAATAACTGTTCACTTAAATCTAACTTAACTTTTAATTCAGTTAAATTTTTGATGACTTTTAATTTAGTGAAAAATAAAAATTAACTCATCTTATTCTGCTCATTATATTTAAAAACTTTTGCGACTGACGTATTTCATTTGACGTTCAATTTTATTAGAATTACTCAGAAACAAATTCCCCCGTTTAACGTCAGCTGCCCAAAGCGTGTCGAAGAAAACGTGTTTAAACCGTTCGTGCAAACACGTGAATATACACTTGGTTCCAATGGAGTTTCAACATTTTTTTTTTTTCGATCCAGTTTGAAAACCAAACGATGTCCATTTTGAGAAAGTCTATTTTTGGGAAATTATTCAAAAATAACTCCATGGGATATCGTTCCGAACTGTGCATCGAAGTGGAAGAAGAAAATTATTAAAACTGTTTTGAAACCAAGCGTATTTTCGCGTTGTTTCTTATTATCCTGCCGTTCCCGCCGAAACAAAATTTCGCTAATAATACATTGATGGTGTGATTTCGTTGGCCGACCGTATAGCTCGCGATTATTCTGAGCACCATTGCCACCATCGCTGCCACGTAATTATGTAGAACTATATTTCAAGCGTTATACACAGAGCGCCGAGAAATTGACTCGACAAAACCAAACAATATGAATTACTTTCGGCACAGCGGCTCCGGGCGTGCGCGGTCAACTAGAATTTTCCCACTATTATCGCGAGACAAGTAGCACTCGGTCAAATGTGATGCGTATTTATAGGCAATCAACGATAATATCCGCGCGAGCACGCGCTTGTTGTTCTCTCCGTTTTGCATACGACCGCCAAGGCGCGAGATTGTGTACGATGTTCTCAATATTTTAGATTGTATCTTCGAACTGCAATATTTGTCTAGAGGAACTAACTTGAGATTGCATAATGAACAAAGCGATGTAAGCGGGATCCGATATCAGTTTGAAAGGCGGTTATTATTATTAGTCATGTTTGATAAATAAACATGATATAAATAATGAACGTTGAAAATGGAAGGATGAGAGATTTCATTTTAGTGAATTATGTGTAATTTTAGTGTACATGACTAAATAAAACCCTTTATTCATGTTCTAGGTTATAACGAGAATCTAAAAATGATTCGAAAAGTAAATTGTATATTCCAGCTTATATATAAACTAATTAGTAGGCCAATAATTTGCATCCTTGAATTTTGATTTTTTCTATTTATGTTTATGTATAAAGACAGAAAGTGACAATAAAAAAGTTATTTAGTTTCAGTTCAAAAAATATAGATTATTTTTTAATTTTTTGTAAATTAATAATATAAAGTATGAAAACGAAACAACAAAATATATTTTTGCTATAATTTTTTATTTTTGTTTCGTACTGTGAGAAAAATTAAAATTTCCTTTAAATACGTACGTCATCAAGCGTATTTTGGTGGTCGAAATAAAGAATATTATAACGAATGAAAAGAGAGAGAATTGGTCTTTATTATTTATTATAATTATTATTTATGTGTCATACTGTCAGAAAAACTAAGCTTCCTTTTAATTAGTACATTATTAGATGGTTTTTAACATTCTAAACACAGATATAGTTAAAATGAATAATTGGAACTTGAGATATCTATCTTTCTATAAAAAATTAAAGCGCATGACTCATTCACAAACCTTCGCAGAACTATTATATATATCACTTTTAAAGTAGAAAAGTAACTTCTAAAAGGATGTTTTTGAAGATATTACTTTTAGTTGTTATCTATTATATTACGGAAATTACAGCTAAGCTTTAATTTTAATTATTTTATTTGTGATTAGCATTATAAAATTAGCATTATAAAAAACTACAAGTAACACTTTAGATCAAGGATAAACTTTTTATCAGCTGATCAGTGTTATAGAAGTTAATTTCTTGACAACTAACCATTTGTTTCTTACACATCGCTTGCTCCAAATAATATCTGTAGCTGCTAAAAGTCCGCTTGCTCCAAGTATCCATGCAAATAAGATAGCGAATTTCAATATATCGAACTCAATAACGCTCTTTTCTACTTATATCTAAGACTCCAACGTCCGACGTTTCTTATTTGCGATTGTCGGCAGATCTTTCGATCTCGCTCGACTCCGAAGGAGAGATCGCGCAATTCATATTGATTGTAGGAATCGCCGCAGAGATGTTACGGCTTTCATAATATCACGTCTTCGTGCGTTGCGTTCCTTTCTTCCGTGCCATTCGCTTTTTCCTTCACACATAATAGCCTTGCGAGAAGAACGTATGGGCGAAAACGCAGACGATATGTATATTACTATTTATACCGTCATTAACACATGTTATCGCGCGTACTTTGCGTACTCTAGCTGGGCTAGTCGATCGATAACGCGCGACACGCTTCGAGGTCGACTGCGACAAAAAAAAAAGTTGATCCGAAAGCGTCGCTATTATCAGGTTTGCGTCAAAGTAACCGTGAAATTGTATTTTTTTCCCCATTAAAGGTGTCACATCGCCGCCCTTGCTGTTATTGCTGCCGCTGCTGTTTATGAATCGTCTTCTCGCTGGCCGGATGACACATTAATAAGCGATCATCCGGATGGATCCTGGCTCAATTTACAACGAACTGCAACTTCGAGATCGAGAGCCATCCAAAGAATTTACCAATCGCTCAGCTCACCGAGGAGAGTGATGACTTCGTCAATGAATTTATCGAGGGAGAGAAAGGAGGGTGTTAGTCCGAAGTCTATTATATCCCCCCCCCCTCATGAGATAAATAATGTTTTAAATTTATCCTCGCATCCTTTTTCATTCTATCTCATCCGTTCGCGCGATCGTGTCACGTCGACGACGCTGTGCGGAAGCAAACATTAGCATTAAAATATTTTCACGTTGTCTAAGCAGTGTGCTGAAGAAACGACAACTGTACGGATGGTGTCATTAGTTGAGAGAGAGCGCATGAGAGAGAGAGAGAGAGAGAGCCATATTATCGTGAATACAGAAGCGAGATTAATTGATCGCGCAGCTAAATTGGCGCTAATGTGGCGTCACATAGGTAAGTCACAGTTGAAAGCTCATTCTTCTGAGAAGCGTTCTTACTTTCAAGCAGCAGCAACGCAAAAATATTGTTGGCGCTGTCTTAACTCATAAGGAAACACAATAAACTCAAACTCTTTGATTGAATAAACTTTTGTAAGTAGGAGAATTCAAAATACATACTTGAATAACGGCGTTTTTTATGTAGGAGAAATCGAATCTGGAAACCACACTGATCAGAAATCACAAAGCTTACATCTCATGTAATAAATGAAGGAGAATATTCTTTTTATAATATAACTTGCTTATATTATATTATGTTAATCGAATGTATGAGACGGCTTACAGCCAAAGTATCGCTTATGGTATTTACACTTTTTTTTAATTGGATGCGTGAGTAAATTTTTTCTCATCTCTATTGTTAACGTTTTGTTGATTTTAGGAGATTTTACTAGTCACAATTTCTCTTTAGTCGTAAAAAATATGCTTTTCGCTCATTTTTCCAGTATTTAGTTCATCGTTATTGTAATATTGTTTATAAATATAATCTCTTTTATTATAAATGAACGTTTGGTGTGAATTGACTCAAATCCGTGGAGCTGGTCACGCATTAGGACACCTCTACATAACTATGACGTTCCTTATACATGCGTGTGGAAGCACACGCACTAATCGCTGATCGAATGTTAAATTTGATTGGTTTAACGACGCATTTAAGTTTTATAGAAAGAAATGATTTATGTTTTTATGATGTAATATATATATATATATATACCAGCTTTATATATTACATTGTAATATCTCACTAATTTTAATCAAACATTAAAATCACGTTTAAATAAACTATTTGTCTTGTTTTCTCTACGTAAAAAAACATATGACAATTGATCTGGGGTATGGGATGAGATGTTATATTTGCGCGACTTTGTTTACAATTAAATAACTTCTTTGTGCATAAATATATATATAAAGTTAATATTGTTTTCTTGACCCGGTAACAATCAAGTCTCTCCTATAACTCTTGAAAAATAGAGAAAGATGTTTGAATTAGAGATTTGATGGTAAATTAAAAGTTACAAAGCGACATAAACAGATATTAAACACTTTTTTTTTAAAGAAAATGTTTGGAAAATTCTTGAAAAAGAATTTTTGTTTATGTCACTGTTCACCTTTAACTTGCTATTAAACTTTCATTTTAAATTGCAAAAGTGCTCTTGCAAAAGTTCACTTGCAAAAGTTAATCCAAACCGAGGAGTTCAGGTTTGTAGTGTTTCTTTGTTAGAAGAATTCATTTTGAGAGAAAAAGATAGAAAGAGAGAGAGAGAGAGAGAGAGAGAGAGAGAGCGCGCGAGTGTCCTCTTTGTTCGATGTCAATTGTAAGTTAAGACTTAAACGAGTGCGAAGTACTCTTTAATTATCGACATTTCTTTTGATTTTGATCTGAAAATTTGTGTGTCAACTTACTCTTGGAAGGAAGATACTATATGTAACTATTTAAATTTAGTTTCATTCGTTAGATATGCAATATATTTTGCTCGCGTTTCGCGCGAAATGAATTATCTCACGAATCTTATCGTTACTGTCCGAGTATCATCCGAAAGTTATACTGTAGTGGAAATTTGATCCTTCACGGATACGCTACGAATGGACTTATTACATCCTCTTTACGACTGTGATGTTCCTGTTCTTTCTTAGTTAATTAGAGACAGGGGCAAGTCTGATCACGTGCGAAAGCAGACACTCGTATTCGATATAATTAGGTCTCGAAGGTATTATTAAATCGCCGACTGCCTCACGGGAATTTAGAAGCGTATAGTTAAGACTTCACCGTCAGAGTCCTGGTTTAACGGGCAAACGTTAAACATATGGGAAAATTGCGGCATAATAATTCGAAATATGAATTTCGAATTCAGTGAGAATACGTAATCGGCTCATTAAATGAGATATATAATGAGAACGGTTAACGCGCAGTTCTTAAAAATGTGCGTTCGGTTGAGCGATTTCGACGATGAATGTTTCGATAATGAGCAATACGTGATCGGCTGAATTTACGGACTACTGATTAATAGAGAAATGTTTTGGGAACATTTTTTGAATTAGTGGACGCATCGATATTGCATTATTCAATATCATGTGAATATTGATATCTACTAAATCCTTTCGACACCTGCATTTAATGACTATGCGGAATATCGATTGCATTTGGCATAAACAATTTTCTCATTTCTCGTCGAATCCTCATTACAACGTGTGTGCGTGCGTGCGTGCGTGCGTGTGTGTGTGTGTGCGTGCATGCGTGCATGCGTGCGTGCGTGCGTGCGTGCGCGTGTGTGTGTGTAAGCCAAAGTGGAGCATAATAAATTTATACAAATGTCGACTCCATGTTGTCGAACCACCGATTAATTACAATATTTGTATCAACAATGGGAATTGAAGTTTTTGCTCTAGAATTTATTATCGTACAATATAAAGTTTCCCTTTTATGTTCATAAGATACTCGATATTATCTTTCTTTCCTTGTTAAAGCAGATTTCTCAACGGACTCTTTGACACATTAATTTCTTCGTGCAATTTTTCGTTAATTTCATCAAACGATAAATTAACGAGCTTCTTTAATTCGTCGACAATTACACATTTTTTATTATATTGATAATTAAACGGTGAATTAAATTTTTGTTAAGGTAAATTCCACTTAAAATTAATCGAAAAATTTAGTTATTGAGTTATCTCTATATTAAGTCTTGATATTAAATAACTCGGTATCCATTGTCTATGTATGATGGGATCACTCTTAACTATTCATAAAGCAGATTCAGTGATCTAGCGAAAGCAATCAATGTAACGTCGAGACACTCTGTTTATATATTGTAAAATCGATTAGATAATTAATGCATAAACTGAAACTTGATACAACATTAGCGAAACAGGTACGAGTTTGCTTTGACAATTAAACTTGCAGATCCTCATGCACTGTGCATGTATATCGAACCGAGCTCAGAAACGTCCCATTTCAAAATTGACATCGTTCAGCTACTGACATATGAGCAGAGATACGGCGGAAATCTTGCTCGTTAGAGTACAAATCGTCGTACGAATATTTACTCGACGGTGAGAAGGCATAATTTGAAAAACGAGAAAGCAAGTCCGATTCATGCAAAAATTTGGCTGAACATACTCGCAATGGGGTTCACGTTGATTCCAAGTTCTCTGTCAAGAAACTTACGTCCACTCGTTCAAAAAATGATCTCAAAGGAGAAGTATAACGAATTACAGGCAACCGACGTATTTTCTCGAGCTTATTACAGCGATTATGACAACCAGATAGTGTCGTTTTCTAATAATTCTCCACACACTTGGAGCTCGTCAGTACAACTGACTGTATTTACATAAGATCGTCTATCGAAAAGTGTAAGCTCGATTACGAGCGATTAAGTTCTCGTTCGTATGAAAAAATCAGCATGGAAGATAATACCAGTGGGAAATGAAAATGAACTTCTACAAACTCGATATCAAATTGTGTATCTATAGATACATAATATAAGTAGCAATACTGTCATTGTGTACGTTAGACTCTATTGTGAGTACTTTTTAATAGGTTTATAATATGTTGATAAATTCTTCCGAATTTCTAGTTGATTTTTGCAAAAAAAAAGTGTATGCTCATACGGTGTGACTTATGCGTCTGTGTGCACTTGCGGAAAAGGACTTAGAATGCCTGTGTGATGCGTGAACTAAAACTCACTCTCGTTTTCTGTTGTTTCCATGTTAACGGTAAAAAAAAGAAAAAGGGGAAAGGGAAACACATTATTAGCAAGTTGAATACCTAAATTGGCACTATGAAAATGCTTATATGTAACTATCACCATGTAAATATTGTTACATTCGTTTCAACTCTGCTGTCACTATACATAGTCATACTGTCTCATTCTGTACTAGTGGATCACGAATCGACAGAACCAACGACAAGCGGTAGATCGACAGCTTTCGACAGTCGGAGAAAATATAACCTCCCCCCCCCCCTCTGTTATAGATCTATGATTTTGATGCGTGTCGCTAGACAAGCAATATTACCTTCATTTACGTACTTACGAGCGAATCGACCGATCGAGAGTTAATTTACCGTAATCGTGTGTACATCTCCTCCGTTGTTGATTCATGTTAAATAAATTTTAAGTAACGCCTGAGAAAAAAAGAAAGAAAAAGAAGATGAAGGGAAAAAAGAAAAAAATTATCTATCAGAGATCCGGTAGCGATATCCGACTGCTGGCACGCTTCGCAATTAGACAGGAAGATCAGAGGCGACGGCCGGCAGCGTGTGTTCCTGCATTCTAGAAGTGTAACTTTTATCTTTTCGTACCGCCTATTACTGGGACCTACGAGTTATTCAAGTTGCGCCTGGGGCGCTCCGAACTTTGTCCTGCGGTTAAAACTATCCGAAAGCATCGCAGTCGTGCTCCGGACAAAGGGCAATCGTTGATCGGGGCACCGGCTGCGGTATCCGCCGTACGGCGGATGTATTTTCTTATTCTGTTTTGAGGCTCTTGCCCGATCGTCTCACGCATAAGTTTATGAAAGAAAAAAAAAATGTAATGCAATCATCGTTACTGTCCTAATAAACCTTCACGTATGAATCCATACGACAATCCTGTGTTCGTTTGTTCGTTCGTTCTTTCTCTTTCTTTCTCTCTCTTTGTCTTTTTTTTACTCTTCTTTTCTCGTCTCTTTTCCGGCCCGTCTCGACATCGCCTGCGACTGCGGGCAAGCACGCGATTAGAATTTTTTGTTTTTTTTGCCATTTGTTTAAACACAGGGCCGTCGCGCAGAGCTGCCTGGCAGCGGAATATTGAGCAGTTGGTCACCGTGAGCGGTTCACAGCCACATACGGTTTGGCATCGTCTTGTCAACGCTGGATGAAAACTTGGGTTCATACGGTGTGACTTTATACGTCTGTGTGCACTTGCGGAAAATAAAAGGATTTAGAATGCCTGTGATGCGTGAACCAAACCTCACTCTCGTTTTCCGTTGTTTCCATGCTACGAGAAAAGACAAAAAAGGGGAAAGGGAAATATATCGATTGGTAATCAATAAAGTTCTCCTATCCGCCGGCTCTCCTCCAACCGGGAAACGACTTGTAATGCTGAAGAGGCGGTTAAACTCTGCCGTAACTCTACTAGATCGTTAAGCGCAGCAGAGCAGGCCGTCTTGTCGCTTAAGGAGCTGGGAAACGAGAAACCCTCTTACAACGCATTAACGTCCCGGCATAATTGTTCGAGATAATTATCCTTGGCATTTAGGAGCCTGGCGGGCATTATAATAAACTGTATTTGTCTCAGTGGAATCCGTCGCAATACCGCAAATATACCGCGTGCTGTATATGGTCGAGTTATTTGCTCGAATAGAAAGCGGAAAGGGATCCCGTTTCGAAAGAAAGCAAAAAGGTAAATTCTTATCCGTAGCTGTATTGTCTCCATGCACAAGATATTTGGTTATTTTGTGCAGAACAAGATTCGAAATAGATGTTTGTCTTGGATATAAATAATTATTTTCAAATAATATCATCTGGAATGCAGTTACCAAATGTATGATGTCTATCGTCAAATTCGTAATTATGGTAATTGATAATATAATTGAAATTTAGGATTATAATATGATTTATGCGCTTATTATTAATTATCTGCGCTAGTGCAGCAACATTAATTGATATAACATTGCGCAATAACTAAAATCAAATATAATTCAAATTATTATAATCAGAATAGGGGATTCAGAGGACACATAGTTCTAATAAATTGCATGACCGCAGTTGGTTAAATTCGTCATTAATATGCATCGATTACACACGCATGGTATTCCAAAAGTACGTTATCTTCATAAATTGACTTTATCTAAACCCTATGTTATCAGCGAATGATAATCAATGCGCGTTATATATTGGATGGTGTACTATGTTCCATATTCCACATCATCGGCGTTACCAATTATCATTAGTTTTGAATAAAGTTTTAAAATAATATAAAAATTAAATTTTACAAATTCTTCAAAGGAGAATTAGAAGGTTCTTTAGTAGAATTTCGTAATCACCGCTAAAGGGTAATAATAATTAGAGAGCATTAATATTGCTGATAGTTTCAATATAAATCTGGATAATAAACTTAATTAAATATACGCTACGTGTAGAATGTTTAAGTCGGTTCATTTCTTGTAAAACTATTGGTCTTCGATAACATCTCGACAGTGTTGTTATGTAACACACACGGTTTGCTCGGTCGATACACGAGAGAAGAAACATCGCTCTTATCACGGCCAGGCAAGATAGGTAATTTCCAGTCATCGTTTCACCTCACTTTCAAATAGAAAGATCATCTCTCCGCAGTATGAAAATACTCAATCAGCAAAATGTATAAAACAATATTTCCAAAATATATGAATAACTATGAATACCTCAGGAGGGTTAACAGTTTCGTCGATTATATCACGACTTTTTGTATCAGAACGCACAACAGTCGATTTAAGAGAAGAAATTGAGCGAGAAATTTTTCGCCCAAAATATTAGTGACATCCATATATGTGTGGTCACGTTCCTCCTAATCGATATTCGGCTCGCAACATCCGCTCTCGATAATCAGAAATCAACTAACGAATTGAGAATTAAAAACGACGGTCGCATTCCGCATCACCTGCTCTTCCAAGCATCCGTATCCGTATTCACTTCGGTGCAGAACAGATGACGAAGTCAAACGATGAAGCGGTGGTGAAAGATAAACTAGACTCCTACATTTGAATTCGTCAGCTCTAGCCGACAGTGCCGGCGCACCTTTCAGCGCGCTTTGTCGCGCAGCCGATCAAACGGACCGTCACGACGGAGCGAGCGTGACAAGGTTTAGCGCAGCTGGCACCTCCGAGACGCGCAGTCGCGCGCCGGTTCTGTCGGGTGGGAGGTGATCAGCTGCGAGCACACGAGGAACGATGTTCGTCCTGCAGAAGTCTATATTGTGAGTACAAGAGACAAATTTTGCGTTCCCCGTCGTTTCGCTTTGCCGTTGAAGAAAGGTGCGCGCGAATACCTTAGCAACCGATCGTGCTCGACGGAGTGTTATTCCCCTCGGCGACGACAAATGAGACACGCACAGATGCGACCACCTCGAACCCTTTTGTCGATTTTCGGCCGTTTCAGAGAGGAAGGGCCGTGTCGCCGCGCACTATGTAACTTGGTTCGCATCCGCAATGCGGTGCTGAAAATAGGAGCGGTCGGCACACGATCGATATCGAAGCCAGGTTACCGCTTAGGTGTTCCGCGAGTCGAGCTGCGGCGTGTTCTTCTTGATCAGATATGCCCTCACCGGAAACGCCCGCCCTTTCGTCGCCCAAATTCTACGTGAGCCTAACTCGGCCTTCGCCAATTCGCCCGTGACCTTGACCGCTGTCGCGATCAGAACACGCTCCTTCCCACAGCGTGTTCTTTGTTCGCCACTAAATGAGATTTCGCGCTTCCGACAGCCCACGGAATTAAACCGCTTCAAATAACGACGATCTATCCGTTTGCGTCGAATTTACGCCGAAAATCTTGTAATCTTGATCAAACTCGTAAACTCGTTGAGAAGCATTGATACAGCTGATTAGACACTTCAACGTCGGAATCCTTAGGAAAGCTCACCGATGAATATCGATGGTTTATTATGGAAATACATGTTTTCGAATGTCAAAAGCTCCACGATCGAGCTGCAAATTCGAATATTTCTGCATGCGCAAGTCTACCTTTGTTTCAAATAAAAACCAACGAAATGATCCTCGAACCTACTAATTCCTCCTCTCCGATTCTTTCGAAGCGTTTTACATTTCGACCAGAAATTGGAATCTTCCTTCTTATTCTCTCGTTTTCTCCGCATCGATTTATATGCTGGTATTATGACAGTGTTCCGCGTGATCCAGTGTATCAGTTGTATTAGTGTTTTTATCGAAATTACGGTGGAAGTAACAAATTATATACAGCCTCGTGATTCAAAGTCGAGGTGAGCGATAACTGTCGTTTTGGAAATATGAATGTCACGTAGCGGCACATATTCTATACACGTTAGGTGGGAAAAGAAAAGACAAAGTTCTGCGCTAGATGACGGATAATATGTGTGATGTCATTCGCCGATTACGCACCCAAAGACCTGTTTGGTTTTGTGCAAATTTAGCAGTAGAATTTTGGGAGCTAACCGGCTTAGCGAATCAATCTTTTTCTTTAGATATTTGTAATCTATACGGTAATAACGAGCGTATAATTTGTTATAAACGCGAGGAGAAATCCGTCTCTCGGGAAGAAATTTCAATTTAGAAATGTAATTTGAAACAAATATCGGCTAGAAAAACACGTGTACAAATTTAAATAAGTAGATTTAGTAGTAGATAAGTAGACTTTAAATAAGTAGATATAATAGTACAAATATAACTAACAAGTAAACATCAGTTATAAATAAACAGACATTTTTCTAAACACATAATATAAGTTAATCATTGGGATTGTGTTTCAAGTAAACGGTTATATTTCCCCTTTCCGATTTCGGCGATTATTTAACTAATACTTGGTGCGTACGCAGATTACACAGAACCTACAGTTTAACGCCGATTGCGAACAGCAGATTGTTGGAGTGAGGGTTCTTCTCGTGGCAAAAATACTCTCGGTGGTTTGTCACGTCGTATGAAATTATTTTGATTCTACCGGGAAGTTTACTAGCGACTGTGACAGTGGTCTAATACATAAGGTGAGCGATTCAAGAGCCTCAGGTTCTCAAGTCCAGCAGGGAAACACGATTTTTCTATAAAATTGGATATAACATGTTATTAAGAAGCATTTCAAGAACCAAACTACATTAGGATCACTTTTTTCGAGAGAGAAAGAAAATAAGTCTCAAAACTCTGATTAAAAAAAGCTATCCGGCCACTAGAAGGAATCCGTAATACAGAAATAAGATAAGAAAGCTGCCTTAAATATTCCTGATTAGATATTCCTGATATAGAGAAAAAGTCACTGAGAAATCAACGAAAAGAAAAGGAAATTTTTTTCATTTTATTATATCCAACTACTAGCTAATTTTTCTGTTACACCCGTTAGGAGAAATGAGCGTAAAATTTTATCTACCTGAGACTTCTCATCTCATGACTGTGTACTATTTTTTGTCTAGCTATTATCTAATTTTTCTAGTACAGCCATTAGAAGAAGTGGGCGTTACATTCCGAGCTAATGGCTAGGTATTACCAGCGATGTAGAACCCAACTTTTCTATGTCATGACTGGACAATTAGAGTAGATTCAATTTCTACTCGGGTATGCCTCGACGCAAACTATTCGACGCGAAAAGTTCGATTACGTCATGGGGTGGCGACCACATTCTATTATGTCACTGACGACTGTAACCTGTCAGATATTTATAGAATCCATCAAGTTGACAAAGTTATATAATTGTGGCACTGAAAGTTACGTAGATCGAGTTAATTTACTTTAATAGCCAATAATTAATTCACCAACAGTGATCGCATAAGGTGATACACGCGAACGTGCCGTTCGTGTTACGAAGCACGAGTTTTGCTTGTTTGATGGCAATGAGCAAACTATAACAACGAAGGTTATTTCATGTGGGAGGGCTGTGTGAGCCTCGCGATGAATCGTTTAATAGATCGGAACTGCTGCTCGATTATAATGACATAATGTAGGACGCGACTCGGAAGCATCGTGCCCCAACAACGTGTGCTTGCTCCAGTTCATGCATAATTACGTATACGAAGATACTGGAAAGGAAAATTTACCGTTTCAATTTAGTGCTGCTGGGAAGAGGCGGGCGATTATTATGGACGTGCTACTTTAAGTTAAATCAGCACGTATGTTATATCGTGGAGAAGGACGGTTCAGGCGGCAACATTGACGCTAAATGTGGCGCGCTAATGCGGGCCAATGTGACTACCTTGCCGAAGTTATGGCTAAAAGAAATACATATGTCGACCACTTTGGCGGATTTCGCCCGATCGTTTCTTTAAAAGCTGGCTTTACGCCACGAAAATAATAATAGCATAACCCGCTTGGATTCAAGCGTCGGGAGATCAGCCGGTGTCAAATGATTTTGCAGACGTAAACGTCTCACTGCTTATATTTTGTGATATTTTAAAGCATAAAAATGTACAAACAACGAATTTCTCATTTATATAGCTAATTACCGAAGAATTTCCGAAATAAGGAAACGTCTTTTTTCATTTTTTTTCTACTGTTAATTAAACTTTCTTTTATTAACCATATTCAAAGACTCCCTGAAATATGGTCTTCCGAGATCTATCTTTTATGAACAAAAACTGGTGCGCAAAATTACAGTCTTTGACATGTAGCTTCATTGATTGTAGTTTATCTATCGTAACCTTATACGTTTGTTCATCCGATAAACCGTAGCTTCAGTTCTAGTAGTCGATTAATTTATATCTAATCGTTGATCTCTTTTATCCGATCGCATATTTCACATTTATTCACTATCAATATCACTATTAACGCTGAAGGGATTATATCGTTTCATAAGATATGTACGGAACTATCAATAGAAATCTAATTTAATCTTATTGAAGACATAACGATAAATGTGGCTTTGATTCTCGTGCATTGTCTAACTCTTGTGTTTTGTCTGATTGTTTTTTATCTAATTCCATCGTCGAATGAAGTACATATATAATAGACACACAGTTTGAGAATTTCTGTGGATTTTGCCGACTGCTATTCTCACTATTCTCGTTTCATAACATCTAGACTCGGAGACATAAGATGCTCAATCTCAGGGATAGTATTAGCCAGAAATCATGTAGAGACTTGACGAGTGTTGTCCTATACGCTGTTTACTGTTTAGAGAAATATTATTATTATTATTATCGATAATAATATTTCGCTAAACAGTGAACAGCGCACAGAGCAACACTCGTCAAATCCCTGTACGATTTCTGGCTAATACTATCCCTGAAAATGTGCGTCTTACGTTTATGAGAGGAGCCTACATGCTATGAAACGAGAGGAGTGGGGATGGTAGTTGGCGAAATAGAAACGTGCAAATCATGTGTCGGTTATTATATATTTCATTCGATGATGGCATTAGATAAAAACAAAACCCGAGAATCAAATCCACGGAACATACAAACCGTGTGCCTGATATATAATTTTAATAATCATAGCGTATATTGGTAAATATATATTATATAAAACGTCCTCTCTCTCTCTCTCTCTCTCTCTCTCTCTCTCTCTCTCTCTTAGAATAATAACTGCATAACTGTAGAATACATCGAGAAAAGCAAACAAATAATTTATATAAATAAGTTCTATTTAAAATAACAGTAAATTCAGATATTATGCATAATTGTATAGTAAAATTTTCAGTACTGAGATAGGATAAAAACTGTCTACGTGATTCACGTGTTATTTCACGATTTCACGCACGTTGCTCGTGAATGTGATATGTGTGCCATCACATACGTCAATTCTGAATAACTCTTACTTAAAAACTATCATTCAAATATCATTTTGATAAAAGAAAAAGTTGCTTGTTTGGTATCAAAAATCTCTCGATGGGGTTATTTTGAGATACCCAGTATCTCAATATGCAGCATCATTAAACTATAATATAAGGACATGTCTGTTTGTATCAACATACTCTATGTTATTACCGAAGTTATTTTTTCTCCTGGCATTTTAGTTATTCGTACACTCAGTTGGTACACTCAGTGAATAATTGTGTAATATAAGACGTTCTCCGTCCAGTAAGAACATGTGGAATATGATTACACGATAAGACTTAGTTATCTGCTGATAAGTCAATATCTGGTGGCACCCTTCTTCAGCTTACTATCAAGTAACATCTTATTTATTGAGAGATCTTCACTTATCATGCTCATCTGAATACCCCAAAATGATGGATAGCAATACGTTTTGCGCGAGTGACTTGATGAATTCCCACGCACATAAGTCCCCCCTCCCTCTTAATTTTAACTAAATGACTCATCGGCTTAACTAAATGATACGTCGGCATTAAATATAATGGCTAGCAACACTTTCAACCTATCGCGGCGAGTGTCAGTTTTTTTTTTTTGCACAACGATAAACAGAGAATAATAAAGAAACGCGTGAGGCACAAACGTCGAATGCGATTCGCATGCTCGTGAGTCGATACTATTGAATACCGTGGAAATTTCTCATGTTTATCCTCAGATTTGCCGCCAGCAGAAATTGTAATGGATCATGGGCACGAGTGCTTCCGTCTGCACATGTCGTAAAAGATGTTCAACAAAGGGAAATCCACGAGGTTTCGGGAGATGTGATACCTATAAATATGGTGAAGGGTATCGGACACCTTAGGGATCCGCGGCTCAATAAGGTACCATTTCTCTTATGTCCTTTCGTAAAAATGTTTCCTCAACACGACGATACGTGACCATAACGTAAGTATTCTGTGATAATAACAGGGTTTGGCGTTTACACTGAAAGAAAGGATAGCCCTGGGTATACACGGACTGCAACCTCCGAGATTTAAGACGCAGGAGGAACAACTGGCTCTGTGCAAAGCTTCAGTTATGAAATATACGGAAGATCTGAATCGATATCTGTACCTAGTAGAACTTCAGGTAAATATCTGCCTATTCTAGATAGAACAGAAAATGGCGATAACGTGAAAATTACGTCAAAATAATGAGATCGAAAGTGAGTTTTTATAGTCATTTTTCTGTCATTTTGATATTCTGTTCTATCTGAGATGCTGTGCCATAGCGCGTTTAAAACGGCTCCTGACTTCCGCGGAACCACTTCTAGGAAAGGAACGAGAGGCTATTTTTCCGCCTACTGAGTGAGAACATCGAGCAGATGATGCCGATCGTTTATACGCCTACTGTCGGGCTTGCCTGTCAAAAGTTTGGCGTAATTTATCGTAGGCCCCGTGGACTTTTCATCACCATATATGACAAGGGCCACATTTATGAGGTTCTGAATAATTGGTCAGTATTAGAAGCTAAGGACAAAATGCTAGTTATACATACATCACATTGATATATAAAAATATTAGCGGCCACATTAAGGCTAACTTCCATCAAACTTGGATTAAACTAATAATTTACTGATAAAACTGGTGGTAACAGCAATTTCTGGCTATATATAATTTTTCGTCTGACATAATAATAAAAATCTAATACTGTGCATGGTAGTAAAATATAACAAATAATATTTGATTCCGCGATAACTATTTTAAATATGAGTTATGAAGAGAGAAAATGTTCTTATATGTTTTAATAATAAACTGCATTTTATTTTCCACGTTGAAAATTCTGCTGGTTGAATTACCGTCGATTAGCTTAGTCAATATCTGGTGTGACCTTAAATCTGTTTTTACACGTTCTCCTTTTCCATACGTCAAAACATTTTATTGAGAAGCAATGATCGTAAAAAAGGAATATCCATTTAGCTGGAAACGCATCGCACACGTATCACACATAGAAATTAAACGGGAAGTGAGCGGTCTACGCGCGGTTGCATTCGCTAAAAATAGTATTCCACGTAATGCAGATATTTCGTCACATCTTATTACGCTGTATTGCTAGCCATCGGGAAAATGAGTGTTCTACCACATAGCGTTGCGCTTATACATTAGTATATCTCCTATCTATTATATTTCTAGGCCAGAACAAGCTGTGCGCGCCATTTGCGTGACAGATGGCGAGCGCATTTTAGGTCTTGGTGACCTTGGTGCCTGCGGCATGGGCATTCCTGTTGGCAAGCTAGCCCTTTACACAGCTTTGGCTGGCATTAAACCACATCAGTGCCTCCCGATCACCATTGACGTAGGCACTAATAATGAACAACTAAGGAATGATCCTCATTACATTGGTCTTAACAAACCTAGAACTCAGGGTGCCGAATATGATGAGTTGATCGATGAATTTATGGCAGCTTGCGTGAAAAAGTACGGGCAAAACGTTCTTATTCAAGTAAGCTAATGTACAGCTATCGTATGTATATATACTTTTAGCCACGTGAGGCATGTGATATTCCGCGAGCCTCGAAAAATCTTATCTCGCGAAACGATCTGCGATATGTGTGCCGCGATAATATTGCGTATAATCTACGTTGTGTTCCAGTTCGAAGATTTCGGGAATCATAATGCTTTTCGTTTCTTGGACAAATATCGGGATAAATACTGCACGTTTAACGACGACATCCAAGGTACGGCCGCGGTTGCGGTGGCCGGCATTCTAGCGTCGAAGAGAATAACCAAGAAGAGAATGTCGGATAATAAGTTTGTCTTCCTAGGCGCCGGGGAGGTGTGTAGGGTCCTTGACCGCGAGTTCATTGTAAAACTGTATCTCGCGAATGTGAAATATTTACATGTCTGTCCTATGTTACCATGTAACAATGTTCATCGTACTTGTTTGTAGGCAGCTATTGGAATAGCTGATCTCTGCGTTAAAGCGATGGAGGCTGATGGTTGCACCGAACAACAAGCACGTAATAACATCTGGATGATGGATATCGACGGATTACTTGTAAAGAACCGGCCCGAGGGTAATCTGGAAGGCCATAAGATTTGGTACGCGAAGGAACACAAAGTGATGAGGACGTTGATTGAAGTCGTGAGTGAGATTAAACCTACCGTTTTAATAGGTAAGTGACTTTTCTTTCTTCTCGTGAGGAAAAAAGGCTACGCTACCAAAGATCGACTATTTTCGCAGGCGCTTCAGCGGCTGCGGGTGCGTTCACCCCTGAAGTCTTGAAAGAAATGGCGAAAAATAACGAAAGACCGTTGATTTTCGCTCTGAGTAATCCAACCAGTAAAGCTGAATGTACAGCACAGCAGGCATACGATTATACAGATGTATGAATATCATGTAATTAATAATAAGCGGGTTGTGAAATAATGCGTTATGCTAATACTATACTCGTTCCCGGCGAAATGATCTGACTAATTAGATCAAATGTATTTGCTTTTAGGGGAGATGCGTATTCTCTTCTGGCTCGCCATTCGGTGAAGTAAATTATAACGGAAAGATCTATAAACCTGGGCAAGGTAACAACGCATATATCTTCCCCGGCATAGCCTTGGGCGTTATCGCGACCGGATGCCATCACATTACGGAAGATTTGTTCCTAATCTCGGCACAAGCTGTGGCCGATCACGTGAAGAATGAGGATCTCGAAAGAGGAAGCTTATATCCACCATTGAATAACATTCGCGAATGCTCAATTGACATTGCAGTTAGGATAGCCGATTACGCTTATGCTAAAGGTAATCGTCAAAGTTGTAGAATCTTTTTATATACTTTGCTTAGGATTAGGAAGTTATTTATAACGCCATAACCGTTACAAATTGGTTCTTTTTCCAGTAATGACTTCCCAGTAAATACTATCTAACAATAATATTATGTTATTATTTTTCCCTTAGCAATATAACTATTATATATTAATTATATATAATTTATATAATAAATTATATATAATAATATATAATATTATAATAAATTTAATATTATATATATATATATATATATATATATATATACACACATTTTGATTTTGATTTTCACTTGACCTCGACGTCTTCATCCAAGGTCAAACCAATAAGATCTTTAAAATGCATTGTTCAAAAGATATTTAAGGTCGGCATTTAAAATGGAACACCATGTATGTACGTGGGATATATAGTTACAATTCATAAAGAAAAGATTTTCGAATCTTGGTGAAAAAAAATATAACGGAAATTTTAATTAATAATAATACTTGTCATACAAGTAAATTGTAATAACTTGTTATTTTTTAAAGGAAAGATAACTCTAACTGAGCTTTTTTCAAAATAGATGATAATAACGTTAGCACGTTGGCATTTTTATCAAAGAACAACAAATAGTGATAACAAGTTGCTTTTAAAAAATAAAAAAATTTCCCAAATCTAAATTCCCTTTAAGAATTATCCACTCGTTACTCGTTGTCGTATTTACAGGTGGTTTAGCGAGCGAATACCCAGAACCAAAAGACAAGCGACAATTTATTATGAGTAAAATGTACGATGCCAACTATGACAGTCCACTGCCAAGTTTTTATGAGTGGCCAGGTGATTCTGCTAAGCCACGCATCTTACCGGAAAAGTAAGTATGGTGATCTCTTATGATGTCAGAACAGCACCAATTTCCCAATCACGTAGCGATGTATCACATTAATTAGTAAAATAAAATATGTCACATTTGTAATAACAAAATGTAGAATCAAAATAGTTAGATAAATTAAAGTTAATAGGAACAAGAGTAGTATCGTAGCAGCACTAAACGTAGAAACCGCGATCGATAATAGAATTAGCAATAAATTTGATTGCAGTAAGAACTTTTAGAAGATTTGTGAAGAATATTCTCTTTTGGTATGACAATCTTTGCATGTTGCTTCTTTATTTATTTTCTTTTATTTTTTGCTATTTCTTCTTTTTCTATGAATTGATACTTGAGAATGTTAGTTTGGCAGAATAATATTTTCAAATTAAATAACAAACTAAATAATTTAATGCGCCCGATTTTTAGCTTGTGTTTCTACAACAGCTTTTTTCCACGAGCTAGAGTATAGCGTTATTTGGATAATTTGATCGAGCTTAGATATTTTATTTTGCAATAATCGCCGCACGCTTCATTCACGTAATACATTCATTATCTTCACAGTGTTGTCCCTCCTCGACTCGCTATTTTCAATGCATACTTCGATGAAAACTGCTGAAGCTTAATTAATCTTTTTCAGAGACACAATAGAAATCCGTCACGATTTAAAACATCTGTAGCGAATTTCATCGGCCGAGAATATAATCGAAGACTTATTCTCGCATTTAACAATCAAAATATTATCTCTTCAGCTCATAGTCAATATCACTCATGGCATACGCAAACGGCAAAACGACTTGCGAACAGTTTTAACAGTAAGAACAGTTATTCTGTTAGATGACTAACGCCAAAGCTTGTACTATTACATTTCGCGCGAAGTGCTAACATGGTATATAGCGCCATATGGCTCAATCGTTGACAGCGTTATTGTTGCAATAAGCTGACAAGATAGTATTTTAATGTTCACCTTCGTCTGTATACCAGTATTAAAAGTAACAAATATTGCCACAGGGACAATGGTTGAAAGTAACTGAAGAAAGTTTATATTATATAATTTTAAAAGCACGTTACATCATTTTACATATGGTAATCGATATCGAGGAAGGATATATGTATGTATATCTCAGGTTCTGGTAGCACGATGACATCATTCGAAATAATAACTAACCCAGGAAAAAAAGATCATATATGAAATTTCCCCATATATGACTATATATAATCATATATGTCCACAACGAAAAAATATTGTTGTTTACAAATTATGTGCAAATACAATCAAAGTAAACACTTCTGACTACTTGTGCTTCTAACAGCACATGATATCGACGTTTAATTAAACGACATAACATCATTTTTTTTCGTATAGACATATATAATCATATATGTAATCACATATATGGACAAAATTCATATATGATTTTATATAATTATAATCATATATAAACATTTGCTCCCGGGCTGCTCGCTTTCTGCCATTAATCTATTATCAGATTCTGTTAGCAGGTTCTGTCGGCAGAACAACAGTAGATTGCAGACACAGATGACGATGGATCTGTAGATACTATAGATCATGTTCGATCTGTTGCCAATTTGTCATTAGGCTACTAATAGACTGCTAATAGACTGCTAGTTATATTTATATTTATAGGGATATACATGATTATTATATATAGCATCTTTTTAAAGTTTTAAAGAAATATATACACATGTATATATAAATTATATACTTAAATATCCAAATTACTTGAAAATTGGATTGCTTTCTTTAGCGATAATTATTTGCTCGTACATACATATTTAGCAAAAGCAAATTTTCGATTTTATAGTTTTCTTTATGAATCTGGTTTGAGATCTATGAATGGAATTATGTTCGGATAAAACGAACAATGGTGGTTATAAATATAGCTTTCACATATAAGTCGTTTCGTGATATATTTTTGAAAATACTTTACGAGGATATTGCGCGATAGCAGGATAAAACATAATAAAATTAAGGTCTCAAATAGTAAAATGACAGAGGATGTTACATCGGACAGCAATATGACGTCCTCTGATATCATTTTGCTACTTGGAGTATCTCTCAATTCAATTATATCCTGAAATATTTGTTACTAAACATCTGCACTTTTTGTGATTTACAAACAATATATAGTTCCTTAAAGACGAAAGGTGATTTATTTTTCTNTTAAATGTGTCATAATCGTTGTCACCCTCACAGAGTTGCATGTTGTAAAATATTGAGAACTTAAGGATATTATATGAATATGAAACATGCTTTTTTATAATTATCAGTTTGAGAAGAAGAAAATCTATAATTCGGCACGAGTGTAACACATACACATTTCCTAATAATATTATTTGAGAGAGACAATGTTGAATTTGTATATTTAAAAATGCTATTAAGTTTAGCCACGCGACGTGAATTATGTCATTTCCAAGATTAGAAACAAACTACTCAGCAAACACCAACTTACATAACTATCAGTTAATTTCCTACTCAACAATGTAACTGTTATATAACGCGTAGGGAATTATAACTAATAGTTATGTAACTGCAACTTAGTGTTTGCTGAGTGTTTATATGCGCTTCCTTTTAGATATAAAATCTTTATAAGATACATGATCTATACAATTAAATGTAATTATTTACAAAAGTATTATTCATTCATGTCGCTTGGTTAAATTTACGAATTATTTTTTTATGACTAATCGTGTTCTTCTCCCAACAGATTATGACGGGTTGGCGAGTCTAAAGACGAGACGACTACTTTAACCTATATATGAACTTATTAATTTCTCGCAGTCAGAAAATAATAAATGTTAATATTATTGGATGTGGTCAAGACGTATACTCTTTAATATTAAGAAATTGCAATCGATGAGAAATTCACACAAAATATGTTTCTTACATTTAAATATTATAAATATATATACATTATGTACTTATTTATTTAATTTAATAACTTTACGAACATTTAAAGCACGTCATAAAAATTATATTTTAATAATATATATCCATTCACTTCGACATAAACAGTCGGATATTTTAAGACTACAGATTATTTATTCTTTTAAGTTCGCTTAAAAAAATAAAATTTGTTTATTATTTTCGACGGGTAATGATTACGGAATGATCTGTAATGCGCGATATTATACTACATCCGGGAGAAAATTAATATATATGATTGTATATAATTGTATTATATAAAATCATATATAAATTTTGCCCATATATGTGGTTACATATATAATTATATGTCTGTACGAAAAAAAAATGTTGTCTTTTAATTAAATGTCGATATCATGTGCTTTCAGAAACTAGCTAGAAGCATTTATTTCGATTGTATTTGCATATGATTTGTAAACATCAGTATTATTTTGTTACGGACATATATGATTATATATATATATATAGTCATATATGGGCAAATTTCATACATGATCTTTTTTCTCATGGTCATGTACTTTAATTTTAGAGTTATGTAATAATGAACAATTGTTTCTTCTGTATAATTCATGCGAAATCTCGTGAAATGAATTATCATCATCGACTTTTTTTTGTTAGTAAAAGCGTAAAATAGATAAAAATTCACAAATAATGTAATAAATTATTTTGTCTTATATGCGAAAACAACTGTTAACTTTTATTCGTGCATTTTATTTATATTTTAATGGTGACAAGCGTACATTGAAAAAATTGTGAAAAAATAAA